ACTTTTCATTTCACTTATGAACTTCTTGAGATGCGTAACATTCCTTCTGTATCGCACACCTTCGGGAGATTGCATCAATACACCGGTTAGACCATTTCCTTTCTTTGACACAATTCTCATCGGACTTTCATTAGATTTTAGCAGTACTGCAACTAGTGTAGAGGTTACTTGTCAAGTACTTGCCCCTGACAACGGAGACACTTCATGTAGTGAAACATTGTTGTAATTAAGGAATTAATAACCGAGGTCTGTTTAATTCTAATCAAAATTTTATGTTGTTTAGCTGGCTAAAATATATGTAGTAACAAAGAATAATGATATTAATTAATAGACCTACGAAGAACATCTCATTCCCGAGGGATGCGCCAAAACTCCATTGCTTAAAGACAGACTTCTTCAACAAAGCACACTTTCCAAATTGTATTGGTGTTGTTGATGGGACGCTCATTCCATTTAAAAGGCATGGGTGGGCCAAAGGAAACCGCCTACGTCATTATGCCCTGAACGTCCAGGCTACCGTTGACTCAAAAATGAGGCTTTTTTAATTATAATATAATTTCAAAACTAAATTGTATTGGGATCGATATTCCCGTTTTAAAGGCGTATTTTTCAAATTCAAGATACATGCTAATTACACAAAGATAAAAAAAACATGTCAGGCGTGGATCTTGAAATTTTTCAAAGGGGGGGGGGTTAAAAAGGAAATCGGCTTCAATATGTATAACGTATGTTTTACTTAATACATGTACTTAAATAACACAGAAGAATGCAACTAGAGATGAGTTTTAAAAATGGGAGGTTCATCAACATGGAAAAATCATTTTTGGGTTCCTATCTGAAAGTTTTTGAAAAGGAAAGGAAATGAATCTTTTAACCCGAAAATCCTATTCAGTAAAGGAGAAGGAGTTTCATTTTGTTTTCACAACAGAATTTCTTTATAAATTAAACCATTAGTCTTTAATTGAAAATTTTAAATAGTAAAGCACATGAAAAAAATTTGGACTTCCCCTCTATTTTGCAAATCCAAACAGGGGGGGGGGGGTTGCAACCCCAGAAACCCTCTCTCTGGATCCACTGTGTGTTATTATCACCATTGTAAACTTACCAATCAAGATAAATAAGCTTATTCGTATATATACAGAATACATACAATATACGATCAATCAATCCTCTTTGTCAATTTGTCTCTAAACGACTTTATAATTATCTTTTCTCCCAAACTACAGGCATTCATCTACCAAATCGAATTCCCCAATTTTTTTTTATTCAAATCAAATTAAGTCTTACAGCCGGTATATTTAAGAGTATATTTGTCCTCCTTTGAAAATCGCAAATTAGTTTCCTGATATTTTTATGACAGTATTCTGATTTTTATATTTCCTTGCCAATTGTGGGAAAAACAATGTCAATCTGGCTGTGTAAACTCACAAGTAAGGTTAGAAAATCACATTTGTGTCATGTTCTTTCTGCACAAGACATTCCACATCTAGTATTTGTTGGGAATTTAGACATAAGCTGCATTTTATTTTCAGTGTGCTTAAAATAAAATAAAATTCAATCAAGGAATGTCAAATTAAATAGCAAATTTCATGATAAATGCATTTAACGTAAAATTACCACTAAGGCCCTTCCTAAGTTCTTCAACAACGTTTTAATAAAGTAAAGTAACTAATTTCCCTCTTAAAAACTGTAAATTTTCATAAACCAAATTATTCAAAGCAAGAGTTTCATCAGCTTGAGCTGTCTGTGATTCCATTTAAGCGATTTCCCGTTTTCCAGTGTCCTCTGTGGTTGGATTACGTAATAAATGTACCTGCGCTGACTCGGGTAAAGTGTTTTGGCTGTAGACATCGATAAACATTTTCTTTATCATCTCATAATCATTGCTTGATATTGTCAAGCAAGAATATAGATGGGCCCATAAAGGACTGATTTGTTTGGGATGTCTTCCAAGAATTGTCGCTCCTGACACTTTTGGGTAACTGCGCAACTCGAAATGTCGTAATTCATTCAAATCAGATAAATGTAAAATATTTAGACAAGAAATTTTCAAATAATCAAAATGTAAGACACGTTTTATGTATAAAATAAAACATCATTTTTTATAGGCTCATATTTAAAAACACGTTTATTTTAAATTTAATTCGAGATTCTTCTTCCAAATGTGTTTCGCGCAATTTACGACATGCGCACTATTGACATGCCTGAGAAAATGAGAGTATATTCCATTGAGGGTCATAATATTAGGTCAGCTCATGATATGAAAGGGGCAATAGACAGTGGAAATGGTGTTTGTGGGGTGCAGACAGCAGTGGTAGATGTTGATGTTTCCAAGCAAACTCTAAGAAGTCATTCATTAAAAGGCATCACTCAGCTTACAAATGTTGAGTTCAGTCCTTTGGTATAAGATTATGGCGTGTTTATGATGTTGGGAAAGGAAATCTGTTGACAGAGGATACAGTGACAAAACTCTGCAGGCAGAAACATGATGATCCGGGTCTCAGGATTCTTGAAGATTTTATGGACAAAAGTGTTTCTGGACATATCAACAAAAAAAGGCAAAATTTATCCGATATTCCAAGAGTACCATCAGAGGGAGAAGAAAATCTACAGACAGATGATGAATCCATCTCAAGAAACCCTGCCAGTCCAGAAGAATCATTGCAAGGATCAGTGAAACCTGCTTTTCTTTGCCCTGAAGAAGGCTGCATCAAATTCTACCAGTCATTTAGATCATTAGAAGATTACATCATCAGTGGAAGACATGAAATGAAAACAATTTCTGAGTCCTCTTTCGACCAGGTGAAAAGGATATGAGCAGAGAAATGTGATTTAATATCTACTTCCAGTGGGTAACTGATGGGGCAGACTCCTTTAGAAAATACAGATATTTGTGAACCAATGGGTCGGGCCTTAAAAAAGAACAAGAAATTTAAAAGGTTTTCCCACAAATGAGAAGTTTTCTGATAGATTTGTTTGAGAGGGGTAGAGAAATTGAAAGAAAGAAAATGCTATTCAGGGTGCAAGAGATATGAGGACCATGACAGAGGAAGGGGAGAGAAAATTTCAACCAAGTGAATGACTTCAGCCGAGTCAAGTTTCTTGATTCTTTTCAAGACTCTCATTGACTTCAAAACAGAAAAAGGAAAACGATAGTTCTCGTGAAGAAAATAAGGAAAGTATTGGAGATGAAGATTTGCAGGCTGTCTTACAATTCCATGACAGTGAGAAAATCATTGAAAGTCTAGATGGATGAATCTTCTGATGTGCTTCTTTAAAGCCATATATGGCGTAACTGATCAAAAAATATATTTTTGAAAAATACAAAATTAAGTTAAGAAATATAGTTAATACATTGAAATTAAAACTTTTCATACAATTCTGAACACGGAGAACACCTCGTTTCATTTAATAATACGATTTTATCTTCTCTGTAATGTGTTATTTAAATCTTTTGTATTTTCTTCCGAGTCGGAGAAAATTCCAAGAATCCAAATTAAATTGTGATATCTTTATATCGCAATTGACTTAGATTTTGTAATTTATTGAAAAGTTCTATCTTTATATAAGGTAATGATACAACTAACAAGTTCTTATAATCTACGTCTAATACTTTTCACTGTACATACGCCATATATGGCTTTAGAATGCAAATTCACCCATGAAATTTATGTGCCTTAAATATGAAACACTCATATTTTATTCTGTAGATCACTTAAGGTATATCCATACTTGTGTATATATGGGTTCAAACTTAAATCTGTCTGTATATTTTACAAGTCACACATGTAAGTGTCCAAATAATCCCAAAAAGAAGCCCTTTTCCATACTAATTCTGAAGTTCAACACTTGATGTATATTTAACCCAAATGCAATTCACTCAAAACTCAGAGTAGAATTTTATTATGAATATTTCATGAATATATTTGACAATATATGAATGTATGAACCACCAATGAATGACAAATCATTTACAATTACATAAAAATTATCATTGTCATCATTAAAATTAACATATATCCATTTACATGACTTTTCATCTTCTATCTATGTTAAAATTGGCTTTAATTTTACATATTTTTCTCGAAAGAATCTCTTATAATTTCAAATTGATGGTTTCAATCCAAAAAATGGTTTACAAATTAAGTAATTATGTATTTGAGAATCTAATTAATTGAAAAAAAATGACACCTTTCCATATTAATAAATTCAGTACAAGCATTTTTACACCCCCACCCCCACACAATTTTTTTTTAAATTTCATTACATTTTGAAGTAGGTCCTTAAAAAAGTTTCTGTGGTTCAGCATTCTAATATAGAGACAAGGTAAATAATCTTATTTAATTCTAAACCTTAAATAATGAAATATAGAGGCCCATGGCCTAAATTGCTCACCTGTGAAAAGAAAAACCTTAACACCAAGACATATACTGTTTTAACATTTGATGTTATACTATTCATCTACACAAACCTATTATGTATTCAGATATGTAATGAGTTTGTCAATAACTGCCTTAGACTTGGAGATTCTAGGGACCTTTGTCCCTTCACATTGCTCCACAAACACATTTCTAATTCCATTAAAAGTATCACGCTTATGAATACTTCTAAGTTTGGGCAAACTGAGTGAACACTGAAGAAGTTTCTTCATTGTTTGGCTTGAAATTACTTTGTCTTTCACTAAAGGGTCAAGTGATTGCTTACATGCATAGTAATTAAGAGTAAATAGATCACTTGAAAGAAGACAGTTTGCCATCATCTTCTTATACAATCTTTGCAGGGATTGTACATCGGCCAAAGCATTATGAGCATCATATTTCAAGTCCAGAAAAGTTCTGACCAATGTTTCTTGCTTGTAGTTCTCAACTTCAGGCCTTTTCCATGTTCTCTTTGCTACCTTTAATGTGTCAATGAATCCAAACACTGTTTTCTGGAAATCTGTATATAATTTATATCTAGAAAGTTGGTTTATTAAGACTGGCAAATCAAAACTCTGAATGTTATGTCCCACCAGAATTGGCTTTGAAAACTTCTTGATGAAATTCAGAAACTGGGAAAGTCCTTCCTGGGGAGTAACACAACTCACGGCCTGGCCTCTGTGTTAGGACACCTCCAACATAAGTTAAACCTGTGGCCTCAGAAGCTCCAATACTAATTTCTGTCGTTGGGGTCATATATATACTGAATTCCTCGTCTCCAGAGGCTGCTGCTATCTGAATAATATCAGATGTCCGAGCTGAAAGAAAAGTAAAGTCAGATATTTAACGTTATACTAAGTTCTGGAACATCAATTAATAAATGAAATGGTTACTTCAATAGTACCTTACTCTAAGTAAATGATAAGTTACAAGTACATTAGCATACACTATGAACTTACCCAGACCAGTAGTTTCCAAGTCAAAAATAATTTCACTACCATCCTTTGGAAAAGATACTGGAGTGAGATCAATGTCCTCAAGATCTAAATCTTCTTCAATGCCAATCTTGGACTGGTATGTATCACCTGCAGACACAATGACACTTGTATGCAACAGAATAACTAATGTTTTACTCATTTTCAAAAATGTTTTGTACAACTGTGTAAGGTTACATTAAAACTGGAACTCATTACAAGTTAGCATCATTGTATATACCTTCTAATACAGACTGTGTGGAGTTTTTCATTGCCCTCAAAGACTTGAGTTTCAGTCGTCGCCTTTTGGAAGTAAATAAACTCTGACGAAGGCGCTGATTTTTCAATCTTTTCTCCATCTTTTGAGCATGCTTCAGCGTAAATTGTCCAGGGGATACAGAGCATTTCTTGTTCAACTGAATATAAAATGAAATCAAAATAAGTTTCACCAAAAAAATGATAGATACTCTAACAATTTTACATCATGTTAAAATTTAGTTTTATTGGTAAAGATACATTAAAACAAACTTTTACTTGAGAAAATAAAATTATGAATCAGAATCAAAGTGACAAGCAATAAGAACACTGGAACCATACTTGCCAACTCACCCGATTTCGTCGGATCACACCCGATTTTTCAACCCGTAACCCGATTATTTTTTATGACCCGGCGGGTCATGCTTATCACCCGATCTTTGCCGATCAACCCGAAAATCTCCGATTTTCGGATTTGGTTCGTAAATTAGGTTGCACTTTTAACTTCCAGTTACAAACCAAGCTTAGATCTACGTAAACAATGCCGATGGATTAATTGTCAGTGCAGGTGTAAACAATTAACTCATTCAAATCAATGTTTGAAGTCAATTAAAATGGCTTCCGATAGAACTTAATCGTTATCAGGGCCAACAGGAACAAGTTGAACTAAACACATGTTTCTGATTGAACCAAGAAAAAGAGAAACGATATTTATGTACATATCAAGGAATCTTGGGGAAAAAACTATCATTCTAGATAAAATAAAGTGATCGAAGAAAGTGTATACCTAACTTCACATTTAAAACACATTTAAACATATTGCAGTAGTTAATTAATTAAGAGAGAGGAAAAATAACTTCAAAACTGAAATTGGTATACTTTCAAATTTAGCAGAAAACTGAAAAGGCTTTTTAAAAAAATGCACATTACTTCAGGTCAATACTAAACATAGAAACCTTCAATTTTCAGTTTTTTAAACATGTAAATTCAAATCAAATTATGTATGAATTTTTTGTCATAGTAAATTAAATCCTTTTTCAATAAAAGAATTCTCAATACACAAATACTTCGTATATATGTATAAAATTTAATCATGTTAAATATGTTGTGAATGTCGTTACGCGTTATGACAAGATTTTTTACTTTCCAAATCTGGTCATGACCAGATTTTTACATGCTGGAGGTTGGCAAGTATGACTGGAACTGAAAGGTAACAAAAATCAATAAAATGAAATGCAATAAAATTTATTAAGATAAGAAGATAAAACACTGAGATAAATGTCATCATTCCTTTTTAAGATTGTTATACAAAACGGAAATTTACTTAAAATCTTGTCCTGCAAGATTTTTTAACATGTATAATTGTCATTAACACTTCATTTGTCAAATTCAACAAAAGGTTGATGAACATTGAAAGGCTTACAGTGTTTAATTACAAAAAACAAACGGTTTTGTAAAGTCAACTGTAACTTGTCAACAATATCAAATAGAACACTTTTCAACACTGCAACTTTAAATCACCTCTGTAATGTAGTTATGACCATCATTTTTCTGACAAACGGTAGCTGAAAGTCTAGTCTTTAGACTTTCTGAGCCTCCATAAAACCTGTTATGATTTGCAATTTCCTGATCATGTTGAGTATACATAATTTCTAGTGTACAGATTTCTTATTAGCAGCACCACTTTATACTTTAAACTACTCAAAAAATCTCCAACAAAAAATTTGACTTACAATCGTTTTGGAGCTTTTGACGACACCATGTGATTAAAGTTTTCGTTGACCTGTGTTGAACCAAGAGATGCAAGCTCATCTGCCTTTGCAGCATATTTTAGGAATAGATTTTCTAAGGCATGTTGAAAATTTGGACAATTCAATGGTTTCCCAAAAGGTAAATTTCTTGGTTTGTAGTCCTTTTTTTCATTCTTGCACCATAAGCCACAACCATCATGTTCTCCTAAACAATAAAACACTTTGACATACTGAGACAGTCAATAAATTAATTTCAATTTTAAAATCATTATACAAATATACTGTACACTGCTATACACAAATGCACGTAATTTTTCCTTACCGTATAAGTGAGGGACTATATTCTGCAATCCATCAGCTATTTCTTTTGGTTTGCCCTCGTTTTGACTTACGCAATATATGAAACATTTCTCTATATGGTTGCGAACTTTTGTATTCTTCAGGATCTTGTGGTTGTTGCTCAGCTCAAACAAAGCATTTGTGAACCCTTTTTTGGTGTGGTTTTTATCAGCCTGCTTGGATATGGTATTGTCAACTGTGGCTTTAAGTCGAGCAATAGTAGTGGAATCATTATCCATTACAAGCGTATCTACCTAAAACAATTTTTGAACATATTTTATGTCAGATCAATATCTTAAGAATCTTGTGGTAGCTATATTTATAGCAACTTATATATAAATATGCAGTGCATAAAGATATATGTACCTTTCCTCCATCATCATAAATGCTCTGCACCATTTCACAAGCCATGGCTGGTTCCATGGCTTTTGAAGAACCGGACCAATTACGTGAACAGTTATGTTTTTGTGGACAAACTCCTTTGTCCTTTGCCGCATCACATATCCTGCATCTCTTTCCTTTAACAGCATATTTAATGCATTTCTTTGTTTTTTTTCCAAATAATGTGGCATGTCCTGCAAAACACTTACTATTGTACATCTGTTTAATTTCAAAGGAAAGGACAAAATTAAAAATATATTTTTGGTACATGAGTTACTATCTAAGTCGTACCTGTTAGGCTGTTATAAGCATGACCAGTCCCACGCTTTTGCCAGGCACCATCAAAAGAAACGGTCAGTTTTCCATCACTCCTTTAATACAAATAATTATTATACGTTTTATTATTCAGTTTCATATACATCCAATGATGCAAACATGCAAACATTTTCAATACCTACATTTCTAGTTCTTTATTCAACTGCTTCTTGCATGATTCATCTGCCATACAGTTAAGTTGGTGTCCGACTTCTCTCTCCCTCCTCTTAAGTGCTGTTTGGGTGATGCTTGGAATGTTCAAGGCAGCAAGAATACTGTTAATGTGTGTCTCCCCAAATCCTCCATTTATCATCCCTGCAGTTGAAGTGTTTTGGCATAATTTTTGGGACAGACATTGCTTATTTTTTATTGCATCATGTATGCTATGTGTACTTGACTTGAAATTCACACATGGAGTATTAAGGGTATTTATTACAATTATGCTATTAATTTTCCATTTTTAAAAAATTCAAATACAAATTATCATACCTGCAGCTAACTTGGTATTCACATCCCAAGCCTGTCTTCCATTCTCTGTTGTATGTTTACTTCCAGTTGGAACGTCATTAACCAGGCCACATTCCGAATACGTGCACTTCACTTCTAAAATTTGCGCTAGCCCAAATTTCCTCTCACCTACAGTGTTTATCAAATGTAATGGCTGGCTACATAGCTTACACGCTTTCAGACCATCTGCTAAAGTTCCTAACTCAATAACTCGCCTTCCCGTTCGCCATCCAGGTTCTTCATCGTTAGATAAGGTTGTCACAATATCTTCTTGTCTTGAAACATTACACACAGGGTCTTTGTTTACACTACACGAGTCGTAACTGTGATCAAGTTCAGCGAATAAAATCGGCCCTGAATTCGAACTTGAACAGGAATCTGAAAACCAACGAGTGTCTCTACCTTTAGACAATGCTGTTACTTGTTTTTCATGTCCCTTTTTAACAAACCGCCCTTTCTTGTTTTTCGGCGCCATGCCCCGACACCATACCGGAAATATAAGTCGCTTTGTAAAAAGAGAAATAGACGGAAACACGGAATGAATACTATGACGTCACTCGAGTATGTTTTTACTTTAATTTTCGGGACACCTTATATTTGCGAGGTTATCGTTGACTCTTGATTAGCAAGACATTTTTTTCACGAATTGTGGTTATTGCTCTATATAATCTTTAAGAATACTATTATAAGCAAGAATTAAATTTTCGCGAGCACACTGTTTCACGTAATTACGCAAAAATAAAGTTTTCGCGAATAAAAAGTGATTTACAGTACTTCCAAATGAATTAATTGTGAATGAATCAATTACAATGGACAAATGGCCAAGTTGGTATATAAGTTCATACTTTGTAGTATTCCATGTAGCTTGCACAAAGTGGTACACATACATGTACATGTAAATGCAAACAATTATTGTGTAAAATTCTTTCCATGAGAATAATGCAATCAATTTTTTCTCTGCATTAATCTTTGAGTTAGACAAGTAAAATATTTATGGGTGGATTAATATTATGTAAAATTTCTTTGCAAGATATATGATTTTTTTTTGTTCACTGTGAAATCAAAAAAATTTTGTTTTTTCCATCATTCATAATAAATTTACAATGGCGGAAAAACAGTTGTCTGACCAGGGTAGAAAAGCATTATTTGTGTTGAAAAAAAATATAAGGGGTCTGTCCCTTAATTATGAAACTTTATTATCGCTTTTTGATTGTTATGTTGGAGGCATTAATTGTAAATTATGCATCAGAAATTTGGGGATCTCATAAAGGTGATAATGTAGAAAAACTACATCTTGATTTTTGTAAACAGATATTAGGAGTTAAGAACTCTACATGTAATGCAGCTGTGTATGCTGAGTTAGGCAGACTTCCTCTGTTGTCCAAAAGGAAATTTTCAATGATAAAATTTTGGAGTAATATTTTAAAAAGCGATAACTGTATCATTAGAAATTGTTATGGGAAGATGTATTATAACTGTGAAATGCATTCACAAAAAAACTGGGCTTTTCAGGTGAAGAAATGTTTAAATGATCTAGGTTTTAGTGAGGTTTGGGATAAACAACAAATTAATACGGCTACCTTAAAATGTATTAAATATAGGATCTTGGACCAGGCCAAACAAGAAGTATTTGCTAAAATCGAAAGTTCGCAAAAATGCTCTTTTTATAAATATCTACTTGATGGGTTTTACCTTCAGTATTACTTAAAGAAATCTATTCCGCTAAGTTCCAAAAATGTATATCAAATTTAAGATTATCATCACACCTGTAAGCTATTGAAACTGGGAGATATAATAAAACTAACAAAACGCATAGGAAATGTTTTTCTTGTCATAATTGTGTTGAGGATGAATATCATTTTTTATTGGTATGTCCTGTTTATGAAGATTATCGAAACAAATTTA